TAGTTTCACTCTTGTTGCTCAGGCTGGAGTACAATGGCACGATCTCACTTACTGCAGCCTCCACCTCCAGGGTTCAAGCGATTCTCTTGCCTCAGCCTCTTGAGTAGCTGGGATTACAGGCATGCATCACCACACCCAGCTAATTTTTTGTAGTTTTAGTAGAGACAAGGTTTCTCCATGTTGGTCAGGCTGGTCTCGGACTCCCAACCTCAGGTGATCCGTGGCCTGGCTGGTCTTGAACTCCTGACCTTAGTTGATCTGCCCGCCTTGGTCTCCCAAAGTGCAGGGCTTACAGGCAGGCACCACACCCGGCCTTTGGCCTGATAATGTTGCATTGGGAAAAAATTGTTTTCTGCCATTTTCTGTTTTCCGTCATGTATCCTATAAGTTTTAACAAGACCAAATTGATTATTTTGTAGTAAGAAAGTATTTCCCTACATTAGTTTCCATAGTCAGCCTTTTAACCAAACTGGTGATTTGTGTTCCTAGCTAGATAAAAAGTTTATTGATAAAAGTTGCCACGTTCCAAATCTATTCTGAACATTTTTCCTTGAAGTAAAATTCACATAATATAAAAGCAGCTGTTTTAAAGTGTACAATTTAGTGGCATTTGCTATATTCACAGTATTTTGCAGCCATCTCCTCTGTCTAGGTCCAAAACATTTTTATTACTCCAAAATCAAACCCCACACTCATCAGCTGTCACTGTCCCTTCCCATTCTCTACCCTCAGTGTCTGACTGCCACCAGTTGGCTTTCTAATTTGCCTGTTTTGGAAATTTTATATAAATTGAATCATAACAGTATATGGCCTTTTGGTATCTAGCTTTTGTTATTTGTCATGTATTCAAGGTTCATTCATGTGGTGTATGTACAGTACTTCATTCTTTTTTATGACTGAATAATATTCCATTCATCCAGATGTGAATATTTTAGTTTGTTTATTCATCAGTTGACAAATATTTGAGCTGTTGACACATTTTGGCTACGATGAGTAGTTCTGTGAACATTTGTGTACAAATATTGTTTGAATACCAGCTTTCAGTTCTTTTGGATGTCTTCTTAGAAGTGCAGTTGCTAAATGGGAAAAAAAAAAAAAAAGAAGTGCAGTTGCTTGATCATAATGACAATTCTGTTTAACTTTTGGAGGAGCCACAAAATTGTTTTCACAGTGGCTGAATTGTTTTACGTTTCTGCCAATAGTGTCCTATTCTTCCAGTTTGTATATGTCCTGACCAATATTTGTTAGTGTCTTTTTTTCTTACTGCTGTCTTAATGGGTGTGAAGTGGTTATCTAGTGGGTTTTCGGTTGGTTGGTTGTTGGTGGTTGTGTTTTGAGATAGTTTCACTCTGTCACCCAGGCTGGAGCATAGTGGTACAATCTCCACTTACCACAACCTCCACCTCCCAGGTTTAAATGATTGTCGTGCCTTAGACTCCTTCGTAACTGGAATTATAGGTGCACACCACCACGCCCAGCTAATTGTTTTGTATTTTTGGTATCGACGGTTGTTGCTATGTTTCCCAGGCTGGTCTTGAATTCCTGGCCTCAAGCGATCAGCTCACCTGGGCCTCAAAAAGTACTGGGATTATAGACTTGAGCCCCTGCACACCCAGCCTATCTGATGTTGTTTTTTTTTTTTTGAGACGGAATCTCGCTCTGTCGCCCAGGCTAGAGTGCAGTGGCATGATCTTGGCTTACTGCACCCTCTCCCAGATTCAAGCAGTTCTCCTGTCTCAGCCTCTTGAGTAGCTGGGATTACAGGCACTTGACACCACACCTGGCTAATTTTTGTATTTTCAGTAGAGACAGGATTTTGCCATATTGACTAGGCTGGTGTCAAACTCCTAGCCTCAAGTGATCCACCCACCTCAGCCTCCCAAAGTTGAAGCACATTTTTAATTTTGAAGTGTGATTTATTTTTGGTTTTTGTGTCATATATTAAGAATCTGTTGTCGAATGTAACCCTGTGTTTTCTTAGAGGAGTTTTGTGGGTTTGGCTCTGAAATTTAGGTATTTGGTCTTGAGTTAATTTTTGTTTATGCTGTGAGGTAAGAGATCAGCTTCATTCTTTTGCATGTGGCTATCCCACTACCATTTGTTGAAGAAACCATTTCTCCATGGCACCCTTGTTGAAAATCAGTTGACTGTAGATGTGTGTATTTATGGGCTTTCATTTCTATTCCATTGATCTATATGTCTGTCTTTATGTCAGTACCGCACTTTTGATTACTATAGCTTTGTAGTAAGTTTCAAAATCAGAAAGTATGAAGCCTCCAGTTTTGTTTTTCTGTTTCAAGATTGTTTTGGCTATTTGGGATCCTGTGCAATTCTTTTCTTTCTGGTTTTTGTTGTTGTGTTGTTGTTGTTGTTGAGTTTTTTTGTTTGTTTTTGAGACAGGGTCTTGCTCTGTTGCCCGGGCTGGAATGGAATGCAGTGGCACAAGCCCTCCTAGGCGCAAGTAATCCTCCCACCCCAGCTTCCTGAATAGCTGGAACCACGGGCATGCACCTTTTTTTTTTTTTTTTTTTTTTTTTTTAAGTGACATTGGCCCAGATTGGCCTTGAACTCCTGGCTCAAGCAGTTCTCCCGACTTGGCCTCCTAAAGTGCTGGGATTACAGGTGTGAGCCTGGCCACAATTCTTTTTCTGTGTTTTTACTATGGAGATTTTAAAACCTACTCAGAAGTAAAGACAACTGTGTAATACACCTCCATGTCTCCATCATCCAGCTTCAATAGTTATTAACATTTTGCCAATCTTTTGCTCTGTCTCCCATGCTGGAGTATCATGGCACAGTCTTGGCTCATTGCAACCTCCGCCTCCCAGGTTCAAGCAATTCTCTTCCCTCAGCCTCTTGAGTACCTGGTATTACAGGCATGCCGCCACTACACCCAGCTAATTTTAGTATTTTTAGTAGAGACGGGGTTTCACCATGTTGCCTAGGCGGCTCTTGAACTCCTGACCTCAAGCAGTCCACCTGCCTCGGCCTCCCAAAGTGCTGGGATTACAGGCGTGAGCTGCTGCGCCCAGCCTGTTTTGCCAATCTTAAGTCATTTCATTATCCCTACTTTTTTGGAGTATTTCAAGCACGTGCTTGATGTTGTGTCATTTCAGTTGCAAAATCTGCAGTAGTTCCCCTGTACCTTTTCTTTTTTTTTAAGTCCATTAACTTTACAGAGAAGCAAGGTCATTTGTGTGTGCTGTCCGTATTTCAGATTGAATTATATTTGAGTTTTATTCTGTAAACTCATAGTTAAAATTCCAGAGACTTGATAAGATGCTGGTTCATTTTTCTAGGCAAAGGATCCTTTGTAGGTAGCACTCTTGTATTCCTATTGTATCACGTCTTTGAGCAGTGTCAAGCTTGATCGGTGGGTTCCAGAGTGGTAAGGCTGATTCATTCATGAAAAATTCCCTACTCTGATTTAGCACTCGTTGTGATTGTTGTTGAGATTTACTTTGAGATTACAAAACAGTGATTTCCCAATTCTGTAAAATTTTTTTGCATTCATTAGCTAGAATTTTCCTATAAGATACTATTTGGTTACATTGAAATACATTCTATGGGAAAGACAATAAAGACTTGATTTTTTTTTCCCTTTTAAATATAATTTTTCAGAGTAATGGATTAGTTCTTCAACATCATCCAATAGTAAAGAGTGTTTTGTTTTTGAGTGTTTGCATGTCATCATGAACTCATGACTTTATACTTAATGTTTTTCTGTCTGTTGCAGTCACTCTTAGTGATACTCAGCCACTTGCTTCATTTTTATGTCAGAAAGAGCCACATTGTGTTAGCTCCTGTGTCCTTTTGACGTGACTCTGTTAGTCTTGAAGAGCTGTACTACTTTCTGTAATAAGATATTTTAGGCATGTCATGTACATTGTTCCCCAGTCCTGAAAACAGCTGTTTCTCAAAAAATCCCTGTTGTGTTTTAAGATAAAATGGTAATTAGGGGCCCCAATCTGGGTGCTAAAGATACTTATTGCTCCTTGGTTGAATTGCACCTCCCATTCCACACACAGACACACACACACCCCCCATAGCAATCTGCTCCTTGGTTGAATTGCACCCCCCAGCATACACACACTTACCCACCCGATGGCTGTGATAATCTGATTAATTGCTTTTGGGCTTTTCCACAGGACAATGCAAGGAAGTACTTTAGGGGGAAAAAAAATCACAAATGCCAACAGAATTTTAATTGAAAATTAATTTCATTTTATAACAACAGGCTAGAAACAAAGAGCTTTTGCTTTTTATAAATTTGATCTTCTTTAATTTAAACACAAGATTTTTATCTTGGAAGGATCAGGAAAACATTCAGCTCCAAACTACTGTTTGCATGAAAGCAATGAAGTACTGATAACATGCTACAGCGCATATGCACCTCCACAGCATACTAAGTAAAAGAACCCAGACACAAAATGTGACATATTTGTATGATTCCATTTATGTGAAATATCCAGAATAAGTAAATCCATAGAGACAGAAAGCAGATTGGTGTTTGCCAGAGGCTAGGGGGTGAGAAAGATAAGGAATAACTGCTTAATGGATTACTGGGTTTTAATTTGGAATGATGAAAATGTTTGGGAACTATATAGAAGGGATAGTTGAACAACATTGTAAATATGCTAAACGCCACTCAATTGTACACTTTAAAATGGTTAATTTTGGCCAGACGTGGTGGCTCACACCTGTAATCCCAGCACTTTGGTAGGACAGGGCAGGCGGATCACAAGGTCAAGAGATCGAGACCATCCTGGCCAACACAATAAAACCCCATCTCTACTAAAAATACAAAAAATTTAGGCATGGTGGCATGCGCCTGTGGTCCTAGCTACTCTAGGGGGCTGAGGTGGAAGAATCGTTTGAACCCAGGAGGCAGAGGTTGCAGTGAGCCGAGATTTTACCACTGCACTCCAGCCTGATAACAGAGCAAGACTCCGTCTCAAAAAAAAAATATGGTTAATTTTGTGTTATATGAATCTCACCTTTTAAAAAATCACTAATGTTTGTCTAGTATCAAAGGCTTTAATAAGTGCCTATTGGCAATATTTCAGACATGGAGTCAAGAAAAAGGGAGTTCTAGTTATTGGCAAACCAAACATTTACCTCATTATTGTGAATTATTTGCTGAGTTCTTCTGTACTCCTTTCTCTCTCCTCCACTATACCCCCAAACAACAGAGACATAAAAAGCATTTAACATCTACAAATATACTTTGAGTATACAGTATTTTAAAACTTTTATATAGTATTTTAAAATAAAATACTTAAAACTTTTTAAAATACTATATAAAAGTTTTAAAATACTGTATTCTCAAAGTATATTTGTAGATGTTAAATGCATTTTATATTCAGTACACAGTGCTAGTACTAGACTGCTAAATGATAGAACCTTTATGTAGCTACAGAAATTTTGAGGAATGACTGAAAAACTGTTTATGAAATGCTGTTAAACAAAGGAAAATGTCGGCCAGGCACAGTGGCTCATGCCTGTAATCCCAGCACTTTGGGAGGCCGAGGCAGGTGTATCATTTGAGGTTGGGGGTTTGAGATCACCTGGCCAACATTGAGAAACTCTGTCTCTGTCAAAAATACCCAAAAAATTGGCCAGGCGTAGTGGCACATATCTGTAATCCCAACTACTCAGGATGCTGAAGTAGGAGAATTGCTTGATCCCGGGAGGTTTGGGTGAGCCGAGATTGTGCCATTGCACTCCAGCCTGGGCAACAAGGGAAGAAAAAAAAAAAAAAATCCCTAATGCAATCTCATTAACATGATCATATTTTTTTAAAAAAACTAAAGGAGGAGGCCAGGCACGGTGGCCCACGCCTGTAATCCGAGCACTTTGGGAGGCCGAGGCAGGCAGATCACCTTAGGTCAAGAGTTTGAGACCAGCCTGACCAACATGGAGAAACCCAGTCACTACTAAAAATACACAATTAGCCAGGCGTGGTGGCACATGCCTGAAATCCCAGCTACTCGGGAGGCTGAGACAGGAGAATCGCTTGAACCCAAGAGGCAGAGATTGCAGGAAGCTGAGATCACGCCATTGCACACCAGCCTGGGCAGCAAGAGCAAAACTCCATCTCCAAAAAAAAAAAAAAAAAAAAAAAAAAATACACTAAAGGGGGAAACAATGGAATTCCTTTCTTGAAATGTTTCTTTTGCTTATTTGTTTGAGACAGGGGTCTCCCTCTGTTGCCCAGGCTGGAGTACAGTGGTGCCATCATGGCTCACTGCAGCCTCAAACTCCTGGGTCAAGCAATCCTCCTACCTGAGGCTCCTCAGTAGCTAAGACTACAAGTGGGTCTCCCAGAGTGCTGTGATTACAGGCATGAGCCACCATGCTCAGACCATTTATTTTTAGTATTTTTCTTATTATTTTAGTTAAATAGTTAAAATAGATTTTTGTTTGTTTTTGTTTTGTTTTTGAGGTGGAGTCTCGCTTTTTCACCCAGGCTGGAGTGCAGTGGCATGATCTCAGCTCACTGCTACTTCCACCTCCAGGATTCCAAGTGATTTTATATATTCACGCATTCTCAGAAAAGCCAAATCAGAAAACCTGTTACTTGCCCTGACTTTATTTATTATTTATTGTTATTTTGAGACGGAGTTTTGCTCTGTTGCCCAGGCTAGAGTGCAGTGGCACAATCTCCGCTCACTGCAACTTCCGCCTCACGGATTCGAGTGATTCTCCTGCCTCAGCTTTCCGTGTAGCTAGGATTACTGGCACCCACCACTGCACCCATCTAAATTTTTATGTTTTTAGTACAGACTGGGTTTTACCTTGTTGGCCGGGCTGGTCTTGAAATCCTGACATCGTGATTCACCTGCCTTGGCTTCCAGTGCTGGGATTACAGGTGTGAGCCACCACACCCGGACCCTGACTTGATTTTTACATGGCAATTCAGTACAACACAGGGATCCTGATAATCCATAAAGACTTGATTCCCTGGACTGACCTTTTTCAAAAATGATTTTACTTTTTTATCCTGCTTACCCTTCAGTAATCATGCCACCAAGATTCTTGGGAAAAGCTACTTAAGTTTTCAACCCACAAAGAGAGAATTAGAATTTTAAAATTCAGTCTTGAAGAATTTGAAGTATTATCTTCTTTTTTTTTTGAAATGGAGTTTTGTTCTTGTTGCCCAGGCTAATTTTGTGTTTTTAGTAGAGACGGTGTTTTAACCATGTTGGTCAGGCTGGTCTCAAACTTCTGACCTCAAATGATCTGCCCACTTTGGCCTCCCAAAGTGCTGGAATTACAGGCATGAGCCACCGCACCTGGCCCTCAAGTACTATCTTAATAAAGGTTTTTTTTTAATGTTTTTGGCCAGTTGCAATGGCCCAAGCCTTTAACCTTAGCACTTTGGGAGGCTGAGGCAGGCTCCTAAAGTTTTGGATTCACTTGAGTCCAGGAGTTCAAGACCAGCAAAACCCTGTCTCAACAAAAAATACAAAAGCTTGGTGTGGTGGCGCTCACCTGTTGTCCCAGCTACTCAAGGAGGCTGAGATGGGAGGATCACTTGAACCCAGGAGGCAGAGGTTGCAGTGAGCCGCAACCATGCCACTGCACTCCAGCCTGGGCAACAGAGTGAGACCTGTCTCAAAATTAAAACTTAAAAAAAAAAACAAAACACTTTTTTTATGTTGTTAATACTAAAAAATTAGAATTCCATAATTTGTTTGGTGCTAATTAAGGTTATTTTAAAGATGATTAGTTTGCTAGGGCTGCCAAAACCACAACTGGATGGCTTGAACAACAGAACTATTATTTTGTCACAATTCTGGAGTGTAGACGTTGAAAATTAGGGTGTTGGCACAGTTGGTCTCTTCTGAGGCTCTCTTCTTGTCTTGTACACGACCATCTTCTCCCTGTCTTCACGCGATTTTCCTTCTGCCCATCTCTGTCCTGATCTCTTCTTATAAGAACACCAATCATAATGGATTGTCACCTAATGAACTCTTTTAACTTAATTACCATTTTAAAGATCTTATCTCTAAATACAGTCACATTCTGTGATACTAGGGGTTGAGACTTCAACATATGACTTTGGGGAACCCAGTTCAGCCAGTAACATACATAATTCTTTTGTTTTACAGGTCAATTTGCTGAGAACGAAACCAATGAGGTCAATTTTAGAGAGATACCTTCACATGTGCTATCAAAAGTATGCATGTATTTTACGTACAAGGTTCGCTACACTAACAGCTCCACTGAGATTCCTGAATTCCCAATTGCACCTGAAATTGCACTAGAACTGCTGATGGCTGCGAACTTCCTAGATTGTTAAATAAAATAAATTATAATAAACTGTTAACTCTTTTCAGTATTTAATACCTGTAGTTCAGTTAGTAATTTTTTCTTATATAGCATGTTGCCTGTATGCAGTTGAACTGTATAAAGTTCAGTGCAAAGCAGATTATCTTCTGTTTTTTGCATAGCAATCAAAGTTGGAATTCGTTTGCTACATCAACAAATTAAGGACATTTTCACAAACTGAGAAATAAACAAATATGCCAATTCGTAGGTGGTTTTGCCTTATCCTTTGAATGTGACTTAAAATCAGCAATGATGATATAGTAAATACTGAAATTTAGGCATAAATGAACACGTTCTACAGGGAAATAATGGGGCTAAGTACTTTTGTGTTTTTAGTGGTTTTCTTTAGAAATCTATTCTGATCTTACAGCCGCCGTTAGCATTACTAGAGTTATGCAAATAATTGCATTATAAACATGTTTATAACTTAGACAAAACATTGATTTTTATAACTCTCCAAGTATGAGCTGAAATTTCTTACGTCTTTTGATAAACTGCAGTATTCTTTAAGTGTACCTTGTCATTTTGTTTATTGTTACAATTTAAGAACTTTATTTAAAAACAATTTTGGAAGGTTACTAGGTACAGCTTTTGGAGAAGTAACTGTTTGAATTGTAGTCCATGGTCAACAAGCAAACTACATAACTTAGAGTTCTTCTGCATTATACATTTTGGATAATTCAAAGTACTGTATTTGCATTGACTATAAAGCTTCCTTTGCAGTTTTTATTCTTCCTTCATAATCCCTTGTGATTACACTTCGAGTTGTTTAAATGTATTTTAAAAGACTCACTATTAACTTTATTCAGATCTTAAAAGCTACACCTTTCTGAACGATTTTAGTCTTTCTCCGAATTTGGATATTATGAAATAACGTGAAGAGATACAGTGAAAATCTTATAATCCACTTAAGATATCCTACATGAATTATTTTTATTAAAATATGTCCCAATAAATATACCCATAATCAGTGGGTCTTCTACTGAAGTCAAGCTCATTCAGCTTTTCTATTTAGCAGCCAAAAATTTTTTTGAAAAAGTATTGACAGCATCTTTGTGCATGGGAAAAGCAGCACTGGAGATGGGTTTAGTATTTATCTCAGAGGTGGAACAAAGCTGTCATTATAGGGTCCATAAACTTAACTCTATAGCTTATTTAAGACTGGCTTAATATGGCTGAGCACAGTGGCTCGAGCATGTAATCCTAGCAGTTTGGGAGGATGAGGTGGGCAGATCACTTGAGGCCAGGAGTTTGAAACCAGCCTGGCCAACAAGGCAAAACTCTGTCTCTACTAAAAATGCAAAAATTAGCCAGGCCATGTTGGCATACGCCTGTTAGCCCAGCTACTCATGAAGCTGGGGCATGAGAATCGCTTGAACCTGGGAGGTGGAGGTTATAGTGAGCTGAGATTGCGCCACTGCACTCCAGCCTGGGTGACAGAGCAAGATTCCATCTCAAAAAAAAAAAAAAAAAGACTGGCTTAATATGGACCAGCTTTTCTGGAAACTGCAAAAACCATACACAAAAGTAAATTTTCCTCTTAAACGTTATACATTCCAGTTTATTGAAAGCATTTAAATATAAATTACCTATTTTTAGTAACTTTTTTTTTAAGCTGTTCCTTGCAGAGCAGGGCTAACTTCTAGGCAGTATGCCCAGAGCCGCCTTAGTAACTTCTTAAGCTATACTGGTACATGTCTTAGTATAGAAGATTATTTATCAAGTACAAGAATTATATTCTGCCACAGTGACAAATAATACCAAATATAAACCTGAATGGTGAATTTCCAAAATCAAGGTCAGGCTGGGCAAGGTGGCTCACGCCTGTAATCCCAACACTTTGGGAGGCCAAGGTGGGTGGATCACTTGAAATCAGGAGTTCCACAGCAGCCTGGCCAACATGGTGAAACCCTATCTCTACAAAAAACAAAAATTAGCTGGGCATGGTGACACACACCTGTAATCCCAGCTACTTGGGAGGCTGAGGCAGGAGAATTGCTTGATCCTGGGAGGCAGAGGTTGTGGTAAGCCAAGACTGCCATTGCATTCCAGTTTGGGCAACAAGAATGAAACTTAATCTCAAAAAAAAAAGGCACATTCATAACTAGAAATAAAGTTTAACTTTGACCAGTTTTTATACGTTACTTTATGTGTTGGATATTGAAGTAACCTTAAGCTGAAGGCATTAAAACTGAATCAAAGATTAGGTAAACCTGTATATCTTTTTTTTTTTTTTTTTTTTTTTTTTTTTTTTTATGAGACGGAGTTTCGCTCTTGTTACCCAGGCTGGAGTGCAATGGCGCGATCTCGGCTGACCGCAACCTCCGCCTCCTGGGTTCAGGCAATTCTCCTGCCTCAGCCTCCTGAGTCGCTGGGATTACAGGCACACGCCACCATGCCCAGCTGATTTTTTGTATTTTTAGTAGAGACGGGGTTTCACCATGTTGACCAGGATGGTCTCGATCTCTTGACCTCATGATCCACCCGCCTCGGCCTCCCAAAGTGCTGGGATTACAGGCTTGAGCCACCGCGCCCGGCCAAACCTGTATATCTTGAAGCACATGGTACTTGCATGTTAATAAAGGCTGAGTTTTGACTGAAAGGTGTGATGAACACTTTGTGTTTGATTTTTTTTTTTAGACTTAATTTTTTTAGGTGGAATCTCACTCTGTCTTGCAGGCTGGAATGTGGTGGCGCAATCTTGGCTTACTGCAACCTCTGCCTCCCAGATTCAAGCAGTTCTCTGCCTCCCCTCACAAGTAGATGGGATCACAGGCACCCACCACCACACCTGGCTAATTTTTTTTTGTATTTTTAGTAGAGACGGGGGTTTCGCCATCTTGGCCAGGCTGGTCTTGAACTCCTGACCTCATGATCCACCACCTTGGCCTCCCAAAATGCTGGGACTACAGGTGTGAGTCACCATGCCTGGTCCAATTTTTTTTTTCTATTTTTCTTTTAGCCTTAATTTCTTTTCTTTTAGACTTAATTTTCTTCTGAGAATTCATTAAACTTTGTCTCAGGACATTCTGCCATATGACTGAATATGGGTAGTTTTTACTTGGTTAAATTTAAGACCTAACACTGAAATCTTAAGTTTTGTGACACTTGGTAGTTTACTTTTCAAATTATGTGCAGATCTTATTTTTTCTACATAAAAATAACCACAAAATGCTTTACTTTATTCACTTATTTGATTTTTACACTAGGCTATGCTTTAAAAAAAAAAAAAAAAAAAGATGGGGTTTCACCATGTTGGCCAGGCTGGTCTCAAACTCCTGATCTCAAGTGATCCACCCACCTCGGCCTCCCAAAGTGCTGGGATTACAGGCGTGAGGCACCACACATGGCTTAGGTTGTGCTTTTTAAGTTGCTTATCTTTCATGCAGTTATCAATCTGCCTTTTTCAATTTTTTTTTTTAATTTTTAGAGAGTCTTGCTCTGTTGCCCACATTGAAGTGCATTGGTTTGATCATTGCTCACTGTAGCCATGGCTCACCTGTAGCCTTGGCCCAGGTGATCCTCCCAGCCTCCTAAGCTAGAACTACAGGCATGCACTATTGTGCCTAATTTTTTTTCTTTTTAATCTTTTGTAGAGACAGAGTCCCACTTTGTTGCTCAGGTTCATCACGAACTCCTGGGCTCAAGCAGTCCTCTCGTCTCAACTTCCCAAATTGCTGGGATTACAGGTGTAAGCCACCATACCCAGCCAATCTCTCTTCTTAAAAGTAGGGAGATACTTGTTGATACTTGGTGACACTCGGTAGTTTACTTTTTTTATAGGATTTATCTTAGGTGGTAAATTCAGCTCATGATAACAGAGAAATACATTTAGAGACATCTTACTATAACATGGAGCTGTCATCTTAGTGTAATTTTGCTAAGTTTATCAATATTATTCTTTGAAAATAGTGCACATATTCTGAGAAATAATACAAAATTATGGTTTAATGGCCAGGTGCAGTGGCTCACGCCTGTTTTCCTAGCACTTTGGGAGGATCACTTGAGGCCAGGAGTTCAAAACCAGCCTGGGGAACACAGCGAAACTTCATCTCTACTAAAAATACAAAAATTAACTGGGTGCAGTGGTGTGTGCCTGTAGTTTCAGCTATTCAGGAGGTTGAGGCAGCAGGGTCACTTGAGCCATGGAGGTGGAGGTTGCAGCAAGCCAAGATGACAATGTAGCACTCCAGCGGGTGACATAGTAAGATTCTGTCTGTAAAGGAAAAAATTCTTGGCTGGGTGCACTGGCTCACACCTGTAATCCCAGCACTTTGGGAGGCTGAGGTGGGTGGATCACTTGAGGTCAGGAGTTCAAGACCAGCCTTGGAAATGTGGTGAAATCCCTCTAGTAAAAATACAAAAATTAGACAAGCATAGTGGTGCATGCCTGTAATCCCAGCTGCTTGGGAGGCTAAGGCAGGAGAATGAATGACTTGAACCCGGGAGGCAGAGGTTGCAGTGAGGCAAGATCATGCCATTGCACTCCAGCCTGGGTGACAAAGTGAAACTCCATCTCAAAAATAAATTTTTTTTTAATTGTCTATAGAAGTTTCATACAAATTAAAGTTTTAATGTATCCAAATTTAGTAGTGCTAAGTTGAGCCTCTGATTGCCTGAATCTAAGTTCCATAGAGCACTTAATGTCTGGTAGTCAGAGATGCCATTAATCTTTTGTGTATTGTGTTTTATTTGCAATATCTGGTTTAATTCCAGGCCAGTCATTTGTTGTAAGGTTTTATATTCCTATTAGGCTAAACTCTTAAGTATTAAACCTAATGGTCTTTTTTCTTTGTTTTGTTTTTTTGAGACAGAGTCTCACTGTCACCAGGCTGGAGTGCAGTGGTGTGATCTCGGCTCACTGCAACCTCTGCCTCCTTGGTTCAAGTGATTCTCCTGCCTCAGCCTCCCGAGTAGCTGGGACTACAGGCGTGTACCACCACCCACAGCTAATTTTTTTGTATTTTTAGTAGAATTGGGTTTCACCATGTTGGCCGAGATTGTCTCGATCTCCTGACCTCGTGATCTGCCCGCCTCAGCTGGGATTACAGGCGTGAGCCACTGTGCCCGGCCCTGGTGTATTTATTTAAACAAATATTTATTAGCCTAGAAATATTGTATATTAGCACACTAGCCTGGGAGTGTGAAAGTCTGGCATCTTGTGTTTATTAGCCATGTGACCTTGAACAAGTCCCTGTGCCTCC